TTGAAGCCATAATCATCTGCCTGACAGCCTTAATCCTCTCGTCTGAAGCGAAGAACTATGAAGAGAAGAAAAAGAGAAGAGGGCATGAAATTATCTGCATTGACTAGAAGAGAAGAGTTGCATCCATGAATCTAGCTTCTAAATGTTAAACTCAACTAAAAAGTTCAGGCACATATCATCCTAGCAAAAAAGAGAAAAAAAAAGAGCATTAACAAACAAAGTTAATACACACCATATGTTCAGTCCGGCATAGCCCAATTCCTTCTGCCCCATTCTGTCTGGCTGTTGTTGCATCCTCGGGGGTATCAGCATTTGCCATAACCTAGAACATGGAACATACTCACAATAAGCATTTTTTATTGATGCTGGTGCAACAGAACTAGGTAGCCTTGACCTTAGTGAGTAAATAAAACTAATGTCCCTTTTTCAGCTGACTTCAACTTGAAACATATTTTGCTTACCTTGAGTTTCCTAACTTCATCCACCCAAGACATGAAAGTTTCCAAATCACCACTAAGGGCTGGTGGGCAGAGTGGCTGCTTGCCAATGATCACTTCACCAGTTGATCCATTCAACGATAGCCACTCACCTTCATGCAGCGCCTTGTCTTCAATCACTACAATCTGTAGAGACACAGCAAATTAAGCAACTATCTGCAGTATAAAATGGTAATTGCAAACTCGATGTGTGAAAGGCAGCCTTTGTACATAAGAGAACTCTTAAATGTTTGTGTGGTGCAAGAATCTAGTATAATCACCTTGGACGCATCATTTACACGGACGCTTGAGCATCCTGACACACAACATTTGCCCCATCCGCGCGCAACAACAGCAGCGTGAGAGGTCATACCACCTCTTGCTGTAAGAATTCCAACAGCTGCATGCATGCCACCAACATCCTCTGGGCTGGTCTCTGTCCTCACCTTTACATTCATAATGGACAGGAAAATGTCAAGATACACCAAATGCAACGATGCAATGTGGAGTTTTCAAGTGCAGCTTGAATAAAGCTGTGATAAATCTATTTTTTTTCCTATAAGCAGCTGTTTAATATTCTAACATGGACGAAACAAACAAATTTGTCCTAGAAAGACAGATGATCAGGACGTACCAGAATAACATCTTTCCCTTGGGCATGCCATGCTTCAGCATCCTCGGCAGTGAATACAATTTGGCCCACAGCAGCCCCAGGTGATGCAGGTAAGCCCGTGGCAATAACTTTGTCTTTATACCCTGATGGGTTCTCAAACTGGTTTTCATAACAAAAGATTAAAAGTGAGATATCAATAACTGCCATTAATTTAGTTGTGAACTGAAACTCAAGTACGCAATGTCCAAGACCTGTGCAGAAACTAGCAGGCAACAAAATTTTAAAACAACAGTTACCAACATCAATACTTGTGTGATTATGTTTGATATTTGTTAGTTATGATAATAGTATTATACTTTACTACACAAGACGTAATGAGATAATCTCTGTTGTTTGCTAAAACTCATTCCAAATAATTCAAAATGCTCAGAGTTCAAGTAACAAACACTCTACCTATTTTGTGGAAAAATATAACATAAAGATTTTGATGTTCAGAATTAAAGCAGACATGCGTATCAAATTTCACTAATAGATCGCAAACACACATTTAATCTTTGATTATTCTAGCTTACTATTAAGTATTAACTGATTTATTCTAAGCACGCAATCGATGTGGTAACTTCTATGACATCAATACACCAACCCAACAAAATTGTTCTAAAAGAGCAACACGGCATTTTGGGATAACAGAGGTATTATGAAATTGTACGTGTCCATTTATGTGGTGCATGAGTTTATAGACCATTAGAGCCTCTTAGTTATACAATACCTGAGGATGAAGAAGCTGATCCAGGTGACCTGGTTCTACCATCTTAAGTGCTGTGCGGCGCTCAACAAGGCCCTCGTTAACCATGTCTACAGCAATCTTTACAGCACCTTTTCCTGTGCGCTTTCCTGTTCTGCACTGAAGCATCCAAAGCCTATTTTCCTGAACAGTAAATTCAATATCCTGCATTATACATGAAAATTAAGTTAGTCTCCCAAAAAAAAATAATGGAGGCACATTACCTAGTTGCTAAACCAAGAGCATGATCAAGACGTTTCAAATCACTTATTTCTGTGTGCAAGCTATTGGAGGTAATGAGATATCACCAAGACAATGCTCGAGTATATGATCAGACGATCGTGCTTCCTTTTAAGTTTCAGTTTGAGGGAAAAGTAGGACACTTATGCCTCTAGAACTGCCTTAATCCCATTATCTAATAAGGTATTGATGCATAAAGCAAATTAGAATATTGTACCATCATTTCTTTATAGTGACTCTCCAAAATTTTGCAGTTCTCAACGAGCTCTTCATAAGGCTCCGGCATGTGGTCCCTCATAGCATCAAGATCCTCTGGAGTTCTGATTCCAGCAACCACATCTTCACCCTGCAGAAGAAATAATATTGCATTATAAGAAATCGTTCGGGTATATATGAATTATCGCCGCTTGCATAACCCAATACGATCAGCAGGAAACATATTGCTCATACATTGATTCATACACACAAACCACAGGTGTGCAACAGTTAGCAGCTAGATGCAAATAGGAGCAACAGGGTGTGAGCCATACCTGAGCATTCACAAGGAATTCGCCGTAAAGCTTCTTCTCTCCAGTGCTTGGGTTCCTAGTGAAGAGCACACCCGTGCCAGAGGTGTTCCCCATGTTTCCAAACACCATGGTCTGCACGTTTACAGCAGTGCCCTTCAGCCCAGTGATCTTGTTTATGCTTCTGTACTTGATTGCTCTTGGGCTATCCCATGAGTTGAACACGGCCAACACGGCCAGCTGCAGTTGCTTCTTGGGATCTATGGCAAGCAAACAACACAGTACATTAGCATTCAGACGCCAAAAGAAAAGGCTCAGTTTCATCAAAACACTAATTAATTTCAGATATCACGAAGAGTGAAACTTTATGGGCATACCAGAGGGAAATGGCTCTCCCTTAGCTTCAACATAGACATCCTTGTACTGTGCCACTAGTTCTTTGAGGTCAGTGGCAGTCAGGTCAGTGTCGTTGTGCAGCCCCTTGACTGCTTTCATGGCTTCGAGCTTCTCCTCGAACAGTGCATGAGGAATGTCCATGACCTGGAAAAGAGAGAGAAAAAAATTCTAAGAACTGATCTCTGTAGCATTCAAGAACCAGGAAGCATTCATGACCTGTAACCAATTTTTGGGCTGAATAAAGGCAAAATTCCCCTCTATTGAGTAACAACTAACACCCATCACAAATTCACGATTCTGCGGCTCATCCTTGCGACATCCTACCGAAACCCTCTGGCCTTATCTTACCAGCGAATCGCGGCCAAGGCAATCGAAGCTGGTATAGGTCTAGCATCCATGATGGGCTCAGGCGCGGTCCGCAGGGCGCTCTCCTCCGCGCCGCCGTCGCCGCCGCCGCCGCCGCCGCGGCGGCGCTTGTGATGAGTCGAACCATGGCTGGGATTGGTAGGAGGAGGGAGGTGGTCGAGGGCTCGGGACGCAGTGGAGTTCGAACCACTTCGACTCCAGCGACCGGACCGGTCCGGTCCGGTGCAAGGTGACCGACCGACCGGTTGCGCACCCCAAGCAAAGGGCAAAAGTTGTGCAGACCGCCGAGACCGGTGTGGTGAACGGTGCGCTTGAAAAATATAATAAAACTTACTGTTTTTTACTCTAAATTAAATTTGCTAAAAAAGAATAAAATTAAGAACATTTTTTCCAAAAAAAATAAGCTTTGATGAATATAGGTGAAAAAAAAGTAATTGGTTGTATGACTGGAGTAGCAACCAACTTGTCTTTGAACTTCTAGGAAGACAGATATTTCCATATTGCAGATGTTATCAGGTACTATGTTGGAGGACCCTGTACTGATTAATTTAATTATTACATGAAATAGGAGTATATGTGAGCTGAGCTAGTAAGGAGTGTCAAATTGTACTGCTAACCACCCATCGCCTTCACCAGTCATCCTTTCCAATAAAATTAAAGAACTATGGTCAAAATACGGCAATAGTGCCGTACAGGTCTCCTAAGAAAACATCTTGTATTCTTTGTACGAGGAGATCAAATATTGACAGCAAGTTCCATGTTAATCCCTTGCTAGCACATAATCGCATATACGATCGAGAGGGACATACTATCTCTTGTTTTTTTTTCCTTTTTTTTCTTGACACAATACTAAAATATTCTCCTTGTAACTTTTCTAAAGTCAAATACTACTAAAATTATTCCCTATTTTCTAATAGTAAAATAGAGCCACAAAAGAACAATAAGCTTTGGGAAGTTGGAGTGACTCTAGTGCGGACAAATTCCCCCCACATAGGATGAGACGGAAGAACCGGGCCCCACCCAACGCACAAAAGTATGCGCATCCGCAGCCACCACCGTCGCGTCGCTGACGCAGCATAAATAACTTACCCACCACGTCGATGCAGCCGTGGCAGTGTTGACGCACACGAAAGTAGCAGAGAAAAAGTAAAATTAAGCTCGTGAGCTCCGACGAGCTAGGCAGCTAGCTGCCGAGTCAGCGAGCCGGGCGAGTGTGATCTGATGAGGAGTACGTACCACGTTGCCGAACATGTCGAGGAAACGGCGGTAGGAGTCGTACGCGAAGCGGTCGCCGCTCTTGGCCGCCAGTCCCGCCGCCACCTCGTCGTTCAGCCCCAGGTTCAGCACCGTGTCCATCATCCCCGGCATCGACACCTGCACACACACGCACGCACGGATCGATCAGCAACGGAGATCAATCGATCTGTCACATCGCCGGCGTGGCAGAGAGGAAGAGAGAGAGAGAGTAAATATAAGTAAGTGATACGCACGGCGGCGCCGGAGCGGACGGAGAGGAGGAGAGGGCGGGCGGGGTCGCCGAGGCGCGCCGCCATGTACTCCTCCACCCACTGGAGCCCCTCGACGATCTCCTCCCACAGCCCCGCCGGCAGCGTCTTCCCCGCCGCCTGGTACTGCTGGCACGCCTCCGTCGACACCGTGAACCCCGGCGGCACCGACAGCCCGATGCTCGCCATCTCCGCCAAGTTCGCCCCCTTCCCTCCCAGCTGTACACCCCCCCCCCCCCCCAACCAACCAAAACCAGTGTAAAAAACAATCAAAATTCCAAGTTCATAACATCATCATCTCGTATCAACAGCGATTATTTTTACCAGGTCCTTCATGGCCTTGTTGCCCTCGCTCTTGCCCTTGCCGAAGTGGAACACCCTCTGCACACGAGCACATTGAGCCGGAGCCATTAGTGACCGGTGCAAGTGCAGTGAGGCACTGAGGCTTTGTGCAAAGCGAAGCTGGTGAAGTGTGGTGCTCATGGCGGAGAGGCCAAGCCCCCCTATTTATAGCACGGTGTGTGACGGTGTGACCCACCGGGAGACGTCATCGCACGGGCGGCTCATGCGGGGGGAGGAGGACCAGCCCGGCAAAAAATTGGTTGGGTAGGTGGATTTTTGTGTTAAAAAAAGGTCTAATAATGTAATGTAAAAGTAGTATAAAAAGTCTAATACTGCAATGTAAAGTACAGCATGGATAGCTTCTTCTGTGGATGTGAACAAGAAATTTGTTAGACGTGTGGTGATTAAAATGGGAGCTTTTTTGAGCTTTTAAGTGTGAGTGAATTTTGGATACGCCTGTATCAAAACCAGGGGAATATGTGCAGTGCCCACAAGAAATTAGACGTGTTATAGATAAAATGCAAGCTTTGTTAGTTTTAAGCGGGAATAAAATTGGACTTGTCTGTATCAAAACCAGGGGAGTTTGTGCAGAGCCCATCGTTAATTAGCACTAGAGAGAAATTAACATGTACAGGAGGTGTGCACGAAATTGAGCAGATCATGAAAATGTAAAATGGTTAGTGTGACTTATAATAGGTCGAAAATGCAACGTAATGTGCTCCAACAAACTAGAGAAGAGCCAAATATCTTTACACCAAAGTTACTTTTGCTCGTGTGAGCAACGTACGCTTCATCGGTTGTATGTTTCTGGTGCTCACCGCTTAAGCAGTGTACATATGACATGGGCACATAGTAACACTAGTGTTGACACAAACATTTTTGTCCTTAAAAAAAGTTGGGGTCAACAACAAATTATGTCACCAAAGGCATCCAAGAATACCACTACCACGCATAATATCCCAGATAAAACTCCAAAATTGGTTTGATGGTGTTGTTTTGTTTAGCTTCGACCACTGCTTTTACGGCTCAAACTTATCACCACAAAACACACGCATCAAGGATCAGTAGCAATGTACTGGACAGTAACGTATCCATTATTCTGATTCACTGTTCATTATTGCTCGAGTGATCTCTCTTAGCTCGATTTGAGCCAGTCACGCCACTTCATCACTGATGTATTCTTTATACTCAAATTTGTTATATAAATCTTTGCAAATGCAAATGGAAAATCAACTCGAAAAGGAAAGCACTATACAATAAGTACCAGGTTGTCTTGCCACCACGGAAACTCTCTAGAAATTGGTGTCGCCAAATTGGCATTCAAATATTCAGAAACAAATAAAGAGAGCTTTTGCAGCAGAAATGGCCAAATAAAATGGCGCTGGGCAGTAGCCTTTCTGTTTCCTTTGCTCAGCGATTGCGTTATGTACACTGTCTGATAGCGGTGCAGGTTCAGTTGAGAACCAACACGTCCAGCCCAAAATAAAGTAGTTGTGCATTTACATCATTTCATCATTTGCCACTTGTTGAGGTGTTTGGTGCCATGAACTTCATGAGACTAGGGAAGGGGACTAAAAGGCTTATTAAAGCAAAAAAGCACAGGCCATATAAGCCTTGCTTGCTTGCATTAGGATGGCCCCAAAAAAGTGCTAATCTGTTTTTCCTTGGAGTTTTATCACTCTTTATATGAGAAAGGTGTGTACAAACTATAGCATCGATCCAGCTCACGTTTGTCACAACATATCTCACCTAGCCTATCCTAGTAAAAGATGCTTTGCGAAAGATTTGAAGATTGCTTTAGTTCATTCAAATGTAAGGTTAACCATGTAATATGTTTCTAATTTGAAATAAATTTGGTGAGTTAAAAAAACAGAAAATAATCAGGGATCACATGGCCGGTTTGATTAAGCTAAAAATAATAGTTCTGCCGGTGTGAACGCGCAAAATTCTCCAAGCAAGCGGACACTTTGGGCTACCTGCAAGAGAGATAAGACGAGTCCGAGGCGAGCACACGCCATGGCCACGCACGACACGGATAGCCACGTCCGCCGTGGCAGGATGGGTTTCCCGACCCGTCTTGCTTGTGCCGTTGTGCGTGTGACTGCGCGTATCGCGGGATGGATTTGCAGCTCAGCTACACGTCTGGTCCGTCCCTGCTGGTCGCCGTGAGGATATGATTCTCTACTACTCCTGTAACCCTCTTGCGACAGTGAACGATCGTTTCGTGACCGTGACACCACATTCGAGCGTGCCTTTTGGGGGAAAAGGAGTTGGCAATTCGCTGTGCTGCAGGTGCCTCGTTTTTCAGAGTGACAGGTAGACTATACTACGCCGCACATACTTAGGATCGTGTTACACGTAGTACTCAACAGGCAAATATCGTAGATAATTGTGTCACCGAAAATATATCCATGGCTAGCATCGGTTGTCCAATTAGTGATAATTCGTCAAATAGCGTATTAGCGTATAAAAAAATTATGGTTAAAACTTTGAGTGATGTTTCGGTGCTCTTTATTGGTATTGTACTACCGGTAGAAATGTTTGGATAGTTCGTTATTAAGAGTAAATTAGTATTTTACTAATATAGTGATTAGGTAACTTTGTCATTTATGTTTTTTGGTCTAGATGGATATGTGGTCATCCATTGCATTGACATCGCTTATATTCCATCAAAAAGCAAAGAAAAAAAGAGAAAAAAAGGTTTAGTCATTACTAAATAATGATTATACCCCATCATACCTATTGTTTTACAATAATGCCCCTCCGTATTAAATCTGAATCACTTCAATTAAAAGAAATCAACGATTCTGATTGTTTTTGACTATCAGTAGAGAGCGCCGTAGTAGGGCTTTAAAACTTTTATAAATGTGCTTTTAGTGATTTAAATATTAATGTAAAAATACAATAAAATACCTCAAAATCAACTATAAAAGTAAATTTTAAGATTTAAATTTTGGCATCGGTATGTTGTAGGGTAAAAGATGCAGTCCATGTATGTATAATTTTCTCGACGAGGAGTTGTGCTTCTCCCAAAGGCCTTGATGCAAACGTAAGGTGAAAATTGCGGGCGTCGTCAGAGTATGTGCGTAGGTTGCCGCTCGTCAAACGGCGACGATGAGGCTGCTGCTGGGTGAGGTCGTGGAACACCGCGAGACGACAAGCCGGAGCCGAGCTAGTGCCGTGTGCCGAGAGGCGCCGGCCACCTGCATCTGGTGGCCTTTTTGATAGTACGTTGTTCAGTTCTGCCGCGCGGCCGGGCTGGCTCGACGCGTGGCCGCGCGCGACGGCATCACCACCGTTCACCCACTGCACCATCGATCAACGCGCGCCCGGCCCGGCGCGGCTGCGCGCAACGCATCGCGTCGCGTCGCGGCCCCGCGCGCGCGTCATGGGCTTTGGACGGACGCAGCGCGGAAGGGGAAAAAAAGTGGAAAACCCGCGGGCGCGGAGGCTGGTATTCCGCTTCCACTCCACGGCGGCGGCGCAGCTAGCGCACGCACGCGCGCGCACGGCGTTAGCGCGACAGGGCACCGCGCGGCGCGGCACGTGCAACCGCACGAGTGCGCGAGCCGGCCTCACGCAGCCACGCTAGCTATAGCCGCTATATCGTGGCGCAGCATGTGCGGGTAGTGAAAACTAAAGACGATCGGCGCGACAAAGAAAGAAGAAAAAATAGCACAAGCAGTAAATTCTTTTTTTTAAGACTCAAACACAAACAGTAAATTTTTTTTAACGACTAACACAAGCAGTAAATTCGTTCTACGTAGTAGAGCTGGAAGATATGTCAACGACATAGGCTGCGTTTGAGCGCAGGAGAAAGAGAGAAAGATAGTTTTGTTTTTCGCGCGCACGTTTTCTGAACTACTAAACGGTGTGTTTTTTATAAAAAATTTCTATAGAAAAGTTGCTTTAAATAATCATATTAATCCATTTTTGAAGTTTAAAATAATTAATACTCAATTAATCATGTGTTAATGGCTCACCTCGTTTTACGTATCTTCCCAATCTTCTCAATCCACTCCTTCTCAAACACACCCATAATCTCTTCTTACAAATGAACAATGAAAAAGACGCTTGTTTGTTGAAAATTAAGCTATCGGATCATGTCAAAATTTTGCCAAGGGGAAAATTTCCATAAGAAACGTGTTGCATGTTTTTCATTACCTGGGCAACTCCAAGTGCACTTCTAGGTTAGAAGATGGTAAGGGATAGGATCATAGGATTATCCATTGCCTCAGCCACAGCCAGTTTGCATTGCCACGTTTGAACCACCCATTTCCCCCCATTATTGGAATTTAGTAGTATAACTAAAGCAAAATCAAACTAGACTACTTTTTATATAAAAAAAATCAATTGCCTAGCCTTTTGTACTCCTAACTCGTATTGTTTGCTAATACCTTTTTCCTAAGTCAGCAGGAAACCTAGAGTAATCAAACTTTAACATTTACTTTTACGAATTTGCTATATATTTATTGATAAATTTTCCTCCAAAAAATTAACTGATGTAATTACAGTACATTCGTAGTGTAATTACACTGTAACTTACATGTAACTTGTATATAACTTTCAAAAATCTCTCAGTAACATGTTATTTCGATAAAATAGAGGTCGTGGGAACAAATCCTTTCACACATGTGTGTGCTGTGATTTTTTTCTTCCTCACCAGAACAAATCTTGTAATAGATCTAACCATTCAAAATTACATGAAACTTACATAAAAGTTACACTGTAGTTACATGCAAGTTACAGTGTAATTACATACAAGTTACAGTGTAATCACACTACGGTTGTACTATAATTATATCTGTCAAATTTTTAGGAGAAAATTTATCGACAAATGTATAGGTAGTCCCTTACTTTTAAAGCAACATAAAAACGACTACCTTAATTAAACTAGGTGGGAGGCCCACGTAATTATACGGCTAACACCCATATAAAATTATCTAAATTGGTTTACACATTATTTTTTTAGAAAAATTGTTAGAATTTTAAAAAATTGAACCTTACTATCATCGGGTTCCTAATTTTATATTTTTTTAAAAGTCACACCAACCATCACCTCCTTACTCCTTTGTCTGCTCGATCTGTCATGACTTCTTTAAAAATCTTGATTACCTTGTAATTTTTAAGTTTATTATCTTATTGAGTTTTGTTTTATAGTTTATAGAAGTCACATCAAACACTATCTATGTACTCTTTACAGCCCGTTCATTGTTCCTTCTCTTTATTCTCACTAGTATTTGAAAAGCTAAACCAATTCATTGTTGGATTATTCTTTTACATCCTAGAAGTCATGTCAGCCGCTGTGATCCTAACTATCTGCCACAACTCTTAATCATTATTAGGATTCTAAAAATCAAATATAATCATTATTGGGGCTTTGTTTTATAATTTTTATATTATATGTCCCATTAGACGATATCAT